GCTTTGGGGCTGTTTTTCTGCAAAGGGACCAGGACGACTGATCCGTGTAAAGGAAAGAATGAATGGGGCCATGTATCGTGAGATTTTGAGTGAAAACCTCCTTCCATCAGCAAGGGCATTGAAGATGAAACGTGGCTGGGTCTTTCAGCATGACAATGATCCCAAACACACCGCCCGGGCAACGAAGGAGTGGCTTCGTAAGAAGCACTTCAAGGTCCTGGAGTGGCCTAGCCAGTCTCCAGATCTCAACCCCATAGAAAATCTTTGGAGGGAGTTGAAAGTCCGTGTTGCCCAGCGACAGCCCCAAAACATCACTGCTCTAGAGGAGATATGCATGGAGGAATGGGCCAAAATACCAGCAAAAGTGTGTGAAAACCTTGTGAAGACTTACAGGAAACGTTTGACCTGTGTCATTGCCAACAAAGGGTATATAACAAAGTATTGAGAAACTTTTGTTATTGACCAAATACTTATTTTCCACCATAATTTGCAAATACATTCATTAAAAATCCTACAATGTGATTTTCTGGAATTTTTTTCCTCATTTTGTCTGTCATAGTTGATGTGTACCTATGATGAAAATTACAGGCCTCTCTCATCTTTTTAAGTGGGAGAACTTGCACAACTGGTGGCTGACTAAATACTTTTTTCCCCCACTGTATGTCTCTCAGATATAGGGCAGACACTTCAAAACAAACTTATTTTTGATCATCTCTTATTCCATGTATGAATCTGTTATCCGATGTGTTTCTATGGGCTAATAGCAGTAAGGCCAAATTCAATGTTTAATCAAATAATTTATACATATATACACCACCAGTCAAAGGTTTTAGAACACCTACTCATTCAAGGGTTTTTCTTTATTTTTACTATTTTCTACATTGTAGAATAATAGTGAAGTCATCAAAACTATTAAATAACACAATATATTCTACAATGTAGAAAATAGTAAAAATAAAGAAAAATCCTTGAATGAGTAGGTGTGACCAAACTTTTGACTGGTACTGTATATTATTATTATTTATATCTAAAGGGGTCCTAAAATTCCAAATCAATTATCTAAATGATCCTTGATATGTCCATCTTAAAACAATTCCACATTTAGCTTAGTCTAAAATGTCATGTAAGTACGATTGTAGGCCTATGCTACTATCTGGTGGACCCATTAGAGCTGGAGTGAATATTAACCTTAGGTGTAGAAACCCCTTTGGTATCCCCCAGAGCCCATGTACTGAAGGTCAATCAAAGCATCATCGTCCTCCACTCACATTAGAACATATCACATTATTTTGAACATGTTTTGTCCAAAATGAAAAAAGTTTAATATAACCCTTGGTTTCAGCTGGTGAGTCCAAATATCTAAGAGCAAAATGGAGTCTGGACAGAATATCATTTTGTTCCTGTGGCAAAGCTTCTCAGAGCACAGAGGCCTTAGTTTTGTCTAGCAGTCAAATTTTGGTTTTAGCCCGGGCGAGTGGGCTGATTGTTCCTACCCTCTGGGATGTCTGACACACACTGGCTAACATTGGCCTTGCTCCAGGTGACAATGAAAACCACCCACAGCATTACCAGCTGCAGGGGGTCAGAGTTTAACCTTAATGCCTTAATTTTTCAGTCCAGCTGAAATGCTTGTTAGAAACAACAATGATTATGAATTCACATGACTATGCCCTTTCATTCTGTTTCTCTCCTTTTGCTTTGTAGACAGACATTTCAGGGACATATCACACTAGCTGCTATGTCCTCCAGCAGGAGAGAGACATAGACCAAATAGTTGCCATCAAATAAGGATTTCAGTAACGATGCGATGTTAAGTAGAAATGATGAAGAATATCACATTATCCTCAAGTAATATTCTAAAGGTTTTAAAGTTGGTAAGAGACCACTACATCTGATTTCTCATTCTCAGTATGGTAGGTATGTGTGTTGTGGCAACATTTAGTTAAATAACTGAACATTACATTGACACTTTTACGCATTTGAGCAAGTACAGAGTTGTCATCTTTGCATAGATTGTTAAGGAGCCAGTGTCCAGACAGAGCATTATCTGAAAGACCTTAGCATCGCTGCAGGCTGGAGCAACAGCTCAGTGGTCTAAAGCTGTACCTTTTCACTCATGCCCCCCTTTCATCATTGGGGCACATCCCACGCCCACCTTGCGCGCCACGTCTATTTCTATGGGCACAAGCACTGTCCATGACACAAACTGTTCACACCTCTCTTGTTGGCAGAGAGAACATTTTGCAGGTTTAAAGCTTATTTCCTGCAATTCTATACATTTTGCCATGGGGTGAATACATTTCCTGCCATTTATAAAGCTAATTTCCTGTAATTTTACACATTTTGCCATGTCTTATGTGTGTTCACGTGATATCTGAGTGACTCAAACATTACAACAAAACAAAAAACTTTAGCTAACATGGTCTAGTTGATCTGGACATTTCTGACAAGTTATAAAGAGCTCTAAGGTCTGCAATGACTTTTTTATTAGACATGGGGCGGCGCACAATTGGCCCAGCGTCGTCCAAGGTAGGGGAGGGTTTGGCTGGCAGGGATGGCGTTTGCAATGCCAGGGTTGTGGGTTCGGCTATGGTTGTGGGTTCGATTCCCATGGGGGGCCAGTATGAAAAAAATAATGTATGCACTCACTAACTGTAAGTCGCTCTGGATAAGAGCGTCTGCTAAATGACTGAAATGTAAATGTAAATATGAAAACTGATGATGCACTACCAAATGTCGAAATTGCACGTTGTGCGTTCTACTATTACAACTTTCAAGAGTAAGTTTAAATCCCGACTGAGTTCCACGCCCCCCCTGCCTAGGGTGATTGTCCTATCTTCAGTTGGACTTCCATTGGAGAAGGGCATCTATTTTATTGTAGTTGTTACTTCTTCAAGGACAACTCTTAGCATTGAATTGAAATGAAAACCTATGAAGCTTCCCTTGAATTTCTGTAACTCATGGCAGTCTCTCACACCTGTAGCTTAAGTTAAGGTTATGCCTCCCCCTACTGGAGACAATAGTATGGGCCGCTTGTTCAGTCAAAATGGTTTTGGTTGTCTTTTGCAGGGAGTCCAGTCAGAAGAAAACAGCATATCCATTTCCATGGGAAAATGCCGGACTTGGTGGAATCTGTGATCTGTGAGGGTTTCTGCCCAGCTGACCAATGCACTGCTAGAGTGGTTAACGTCTCATCTTAAACAAAGTTTGGTTCAGTTGTATCTGGTACGTGTTTCTGGATTTCCATTAAAGTTTTTTGCTTAAAAGCTATATTTGGACTATTTATTTATCTTGAAATATCCCTACCATGTGTGATTTATTTTGCCAAAAAAAATATTTTTTATAAATAACATGTTCATAATATTGATATATGATGTATCCCTATACAAAGTATACTTACAAAGTATCATACTTTAGACTATTATTACAATACAAAGAGTATTCACTATTAATACAAACTATTATTGCTATTTTAGAGTTTCTTGTAATTTTGCTTGATATTATCCACTTTGGATGAAGTCCATTCATGTGATTGTGAACCAAACTAATTTACATAATAGAATTCTTTGGAATTGTACATTCTCAATTAAAATACAGAAGAAACCACACTGGTCCCTCATGTGACCTTTACAAGAATGAGCAGCCAATTTGACCATTGAAATCCTTGGAACCATTTAAATTACAAGGACAAGTTGACAAAAATGTGTTTGAATGTTGGTCAGGTCAGAGCAAAGTGACATATTAGTGGCAGGTTGAGACACCCTGTTTATTCACACAAGAGGAGACAGTATATTGATACACCATCCAAAGTGTAATTAATAACTTCACAATGCTCAAAATCATATTCAATCTCTGCTTTTTTGTTTTGTTTTACCCATCTACCAATAGGTGCCCTTTTTGCGAGGCAATGAAAAATACTTCATAGTCTTTGTGGTTGAATCTGTGTTTGAAATTCACTGCTCAACTGAGGGACCTTAAAGATAATTGTATGTGTGGGGTACAGAGATGAGGTAGTCATTCAAAAAAAGATGTTAAACACACAAATTAGTGAGTCCATGCAACTTGTTAAGCACATTTTTACTCCTGAAGACATTTAGGCTTGCCATAACAAATGGGTTGAATACTTATTGACTCATGACATTTCAGCTTTTCTTTTTTAATTAATTTGTATACATTTCAAAAAAATAATAATTCCACTTTGACATTATGGGGTATTGTGTGTAGGCCAATGACAAAAAAAATCACAATTTAATCAATTTTACATTCAGGCTGTAACACAGAAAAACTCAAGGGGTGTGAATACTTTCTGAAGGCACTGTAGTTATGCTTGAGAATTGTTCATGACATAATATCATTAGGAATAAAGAATATTCAATTATACTGTGATACATTTAGATGTGGGTTATGCTGTTAAGAGTAAGCAATCTGACAATGACAGAATTATAATTATTTTAGATTCATGCAAATATGCTGAAAACGTCTCCTATGTTAGTTTTGTAACTAACAATTAAAATAAAATAAGTGAGGACATAAAAATAGTTATTGTCAACAATTTATTAAGATAAAATGAACATGTAAATGGAAAGGTGAATGACACCTTTTATGTAGGTTGGACATTGATCTTTTCAACACGAAAGGCAGGGTGACATCTGAAAGGCAGATTGACATCTCATCTAATTTCTACAATCCGAGCCAAATAACAACAAATCAACTTGGCCATGCTGTCCATTTTTGTTAATGATATACTTATGAAACAGGCATGGTAAGCAAACGTTTTTTTTTTAAAGGCTGTCTCGGACTGTTGTTCCTGTCATCCCACTGGCCATGAGAATGGTTGTCGTAGCACTGACTCTAGCCCTTGTGGGTGAGTACATTGCTTTTTAGATCATATAATTTTGAAAGAAATGTAATTTTGCCATTCTGATTCATTTGAAATAGTATGTAGTCAATGCAAACTGAACAATGTCTTTCTTTTTCTTTCCATCGTATAGCCAGTCAACATGTTAACTTTGGTAAGTTATGCTACATTAGGAATTTGTACTTATTATAAGTACAAGACAGAATGTTTGAAAATAAATGTACACATGATTAACACATTTTTAAATGGCTGTCATTACAGCCCCTGAATTTGAAGCCAGTAAGACCTACAGTGGGGAAAAAAAGTATTTAGTCAGCCACCAATTGTGCAAGTTCTCCCACTTAAAAAGATGAGATAAAAATCCAAAAAATCACATTGTAGGATTTTTTATGAATTTATTTGCAAATTATGGTGGAAAATAAGTATTTGGTCACCTACAAACAAGCAAGATTTCTGGCTCTCACAGACCTGTAACTTCTTCTTTAAGAGGCTCCTCTGTCCTCCACTCGTTACCTGTATTAATGGCACCTGTTTGAACTTGTTATCAGTATAAAAGACACCTGTCCACAACCTCAAACAGTCACACTCCAAACTCCACTATGGCCAAGACCAAAGAGCTGTCAAAGGACACCAGAAACAAAATTGTAGACCTGCACCAGGCTGGGAAGACTGAATCTGCAATAGGTAAGCAGCTTGGTTTGAAGAAATCAACTGTGGGAGCAATTATTAGGAAATGGAAGACATACAAGACCACTGATAATCTCCCTCGATCTGGGGCTCCACGCAAGATCTCACCCTGTGGGGTCAAAATGATCACAAGAACGGTGAGCAAAAATCCCAGAACCACACGGGGGGACCTAGTGAATGACCTGCAGAGAGCTGGGACCAAAGTAACAAAGCCTACCATCAGTAACACACTACGCCGCCAGGGACTCAATTCCTGCAGTGCCAGACGTGTCCCCCTGCTTAAGCCAGTACACGTCCAGGCCCGTCTGAAGTTTGCTAGAGTGCATTTGGATGATCCAGAAGAGGATAGGGAGAATGTCATATGGTCAGATGAAACCAAAATATAACTTTTTGGTAAAAACTCAACTCGTCGTGTTTGGAGGACAAAGAATGCTGAGTTGCATCCAAAGAACACCATACCTACTGTGAAGCATGGGGGTGGAAACATCATGCTTTGGGGCTGTTTTTCTGCAAAGGGACCAGGACGACTGATCCGTATAAAGGAAAGAATGAATGGGGCCATGTATCGTGAGATTTTGAGGAAAACCTCCTTCCATCAGCAAGGGCATTGAAGATGAAACGTGGCTGGGTCTTTCAGCATGACAATGATCCCAAACACACCGCCCGGGCAACGAAGGAGTGGCTCTGTAAGAAGCATTTCAAGGTCCTGGAGTGGCCTAACCAGTCTCCAGGTCTCAACCCCATAGAAAATCTTTGGAGGGATTTGAAAGTCTGTGTTGCCCAGCGACAGCCCCAAAACATCACTGCTCTAGAGGAGATCTGCATGGAGGAATGGGCCAAAATACCAGCAAAAGTGTGTGAAAACCTTGTGAAGACTTACAGAAAACGTTTGACCTGTGTCATTGCCAACAAAGGGTATCCAACAAAGTATTGAGAAACTTTAGTTATTGACCAAATACTTATTTTCCACCATAATTTGCAAATAAAATCATTAAAAATCCTACAATGTGATTTTCTGGATTTTTTTTTCTCATTTTGTCTGTCATAGTTGACGTGTACCTATGATGAAAATTACAGGCCTCTCTCATCTTTTTAAGTGGGAGAACTTGCACAATTGGTGGCTGACTAAATACTTTTTTCCCCCACTGTATGTGTAGAAGTATGAGGCACTGCTCCTGGGCGGTCTGCCTGAAGAGTGTCTGGCCAGAGCATGAGTAAAAGTCATCAGCAAAGTTCTCATCAGTGCAATTACCCCAACTACCAACATTTGAAGTTGGAAGTTTACATACACCATAGCCTAATACATTAAACTCACAATAGTTTTTCACAATTCCTGACATTTAATCCTGGTAAATATTTCCTGTTTTAGGTCAGATGGGATCACCACTTTATTTTCAGAATGTGAAATGTCAGAATAATAATAGAGAAAATGATTTATTTCAGCTTTTATTTATTTCATCACAATCCCAGTGGGTCAGAAGTTTACATACACTCAATTAGTATTTGGTAGCATTGCCTTTAAATTGTTTAACTTGGGTCAAACGTTTCAGGTAGCCTTCCACAAGCTTCCCACAATAAGTTGGATGAATTTTGGCCCATTCCTCTTGACAGAGCTGGTGTAACTGAGTCAGGTTTGTAGCCCTCCTTGCTCGCACACGCTTTTTCAGTTCTGCCCACAACATTTCTATAGGATTGAGGTCAGGGCTTTGTGATGGCCATTCCAATACCTTGACTTTGTTGTCCTTAAAACATTTTGCCACAACTTTGGAAGAATGCTTGGGGTCATTGTCCATTTGGAAGACCCATTTGCGACCAATCTTTAACTTCCTGACTGATGTCTTAATAATAATAATAATATGCCATTTAGCAGACGCTTTTATCCAAAGCGACTTACAGTCATGTGTGCATACATTTTTACGTATGGGTGGTCCCGGGGATCGAACCCACTACCCTGGCGTTACAAGCGCTATGCTCTACCAATTGCTTCAATATATCCCCATAATTTTCCTTCCTCATGATGCCACCTATTTTATGAAGTGCACCAGTCCCTCCTGCAGCAAAGCACCCCCACAGCATGATGCTGCCACCCCCGTGCTTCACGGTTGGGATGGTGTTCTTCGGCTTGCAAGAAACCACCTTTTTCCTCCAAACATAACAATGGTCATTATGGCCAAACAGTTCTATTTTTGTTTCATCAGACCAGAGGACATTTCTCCAAAAAGTACGATCTTTGTCAACCACAGCATGATATAAATGTAAAGGCAATGAACAGCTGCTCTACAGCATGATATAAATGTAAAGGTAATGAAGAGCTGCTCTACAGCATGATATAAATGTAAAGGTAATGAAGAGCTGCTCTACAGCATGATATAAATGTAAAGGTAATGAAGAGCTGCTCTACAGCATGATATAAATGTAAAGGTAATGAAGAGCTGCTCTACAGCATGATATAAATGTAAAGGCAATGAAGAGCTGCTCTACAGCATGATATAAATGTAAAGGTAATGAAGAGCTGCTCTACAGCATGATATAAATGTAAAGGTAATGAAGAGCTGCTCTACAGCATGATATAAATGTAAAGGTAATGAAGAGCTGCTCTACAGCATGATATAAATGTAAAGGTAATGAAGAGCTGCTCTACAGCATGATAGAAATGTAAAGGCAATGAAGACAGGGTATATAACAAACAGCTCAACAAAGACCATATAAATTGAAAGTGTGTCCCAAATGACACTCTATTCCCTATATGGTGCACTACTTCTGTATTAGGGCTCTTATACGGCTATGGTCTAAAGTGGTGCCCTATAGAGTGAATGGGGTGCCATTTGGGATACAAACCATGGACCATTCTGGTTCAGTACCAGTAACAGTTTTCCCATTGAAATTAAACTTCACTTAAACCATTACAGATGTCAAATCCCCTTAATGGGTAACATTTTCATGCTTTGTCAATTTGTCCAAATCCCTTTTTACTCCAGAAGCATGACCAATCTGGATTTAACAGCCTTAATAAAAGTCATGGCTTCCTGACAAAATGTTATTATAAAAAAATAAAAATAAAAATAAAATAATAATATGCAGTAGCAAACCGTAGACTGGCTTTTTTATGGCGGTTTTGAAGCATTGTTTTCTTCCTTGCTGAGCGACCATTCAGGTTATGTCGATATAGGACTCGTTTTACTGTGGATATAGATAATTTTGTACCCGTTTCCTCCAGCATCTTCACAAGGTCCTTTGCTGTTGTTCTGGGATTGATTTGCACTTTTCGCACCAAAGTACGTTCATCTCTAGGAGACAGAACGCGTCTCCTTCCTGAGCGGTATGACGGCTGCGTGGTCCCATGGTGTTTACACTTGCATTCTATTGTTTGTACAGATGAACGTGGTACCTTCAGGAGTTTGGAAAATGCTCCCAAAGATGAACCAGACTTTTGGAGATCTACAATTTATTTTCTGAGGTCTTGGCTGATTTATTTTGATTTTCCCATGATGTCAAGCAAAGAGGCACTGAGTTTGAAGATAGGCCTTGAAATACATCCACAGGTACACCTCCAATTGAGTGAAATTATGTCAATTAGCCTATCAGAAGCTTCTAAAGCCATGACATCATTTTCTGGAATTTTAAAGGCACAGTCAACTTAGTGTATGTAAACTTCTCACCCACTGGAATTGTGATACAGTGAGTTATAAGTGAAATAGTCTGTCTGTAAACAGTTGTTGGAAAAATTACTTGTGTCATGCACAAAGTAGATGTCCTAACCGACTTGCCAAAACTATAGTTTGTTAACAAGACATTTGTGGAGTGGTTGAAAAACTAGTTTTAATGACTCCAACCTAAGTGTATGTAAACTTCCGACTTCAACTGTATATGCTAAAGGTATAAGGCTACACATCAAGTTTACCAACAAAATATCTAAATGCATTGACTAATATATTGATATATCCTTGTAGCTTGTGGACCCTGAGATCTTTGAGTACAGTGGCATTTGGCCCAAATATCATTTCGTCCCAGCTGCAAACCTCACTTCAGCCCTGGCTGCTCAGCTCTTGACGCCAATCAAGTTTGAGTATGCCAATGGTGTTGTGGGTAAGGTATTTGCCCCCACTGGTGTCTCTGAAACAGTGCTGAATATCCATAGAGTTATCCTGAACATCCTTCAGCTCAACATCAAGAAGACACAGAATGTCTATGTGTTGCAGGAGGTAAGACTTGTATATTTTCATATTCACACATACTGTATATCTTTATATGATTAATGTTTGAACTTCTCACTCTCCTTTGTATTACCTAGGCTGGAGCTCAGGGAGTGTGCAAGACCCACTATGTGATCAGTGAAGATGCCAAGGCAGAGCGCATCGATTTGACCAAGACCAAGGACCTGAATCACTGCCAGGAGAGAATCATGAAAGAGTTTGGTCTGGCTTACACTGAGAAGTGTGTTGAGTGCCAGCAGGTAGGAGCAAATGTAACTCGTTATTGGCTTTGGTGGACATCACTAAACAACAGATATTCTAGCCTAGTAGAAATATAACTAACAATACATTTTATCTACACAGAGAGGAAAGAACATGAGGGGAGCTGCAGTCTACAACTACATCATGAAGCCCACTGCCACTGGTGCTATGATCCTGGATGCCACTGTTACGGAGCTCCATCAGTTCTCACCTTTTAATGAGATGACTGGCGCTGCCCAGATGGAAGAAAAGTATGTTGACTGATTTGTAAAAATACATCTTAAGGTGTAATGCATTGTAGGTACACTGTATACAGCATCTAAAATTCTTAATGATCTTAAATTGCCTGTTTACAGACAAACCTTGGCTTTTGTTGAGATCGAGAAGATCCCAGTTAAGCCCATCAAAGCAGAATATCTTCACCATGGATCCACTCAGTATGAGTTTGCCACTGAGATTCTCCAGACACCGATTCAGCTCCTTAGGCTCAGCAACGCACATGATCAGGTACAGTGACAAGTAGTACCTTCCTCTTGAGTTACAGGAGATTATCAGTAGTGTTTTCTTGAATTATGCTCCTGATAACCTTTCAAAATATTAATTCCTTCTCTCGTAAGATTATGGAGATTCTGAACCATCTGGTTGAAAACAATGTGGCTAAGGTCCATGACGATGCCCCTCTGAAGTTTGTTCAGCTTGTCCAGCTCATGCGTATGGCCAGCTTTGAAACCATTTGGGTGATCTGGCATCAGTTCAAGGCCAAGACAGCTTTCAGGTACTTTTCAAATAATCTTTGGGAAACAAATATCATCAAAAAAGCCAGGCACAGTACTAAAGTCAACCTTCCACTTTTTCAGATGCTGGATCCTGGATGCTATCCCTGCAATTGGAACTCCAGTTACTCTGAAATTCATCAAGGAGGAGTTAGAGGATGGTCAAATGGCTATTTCTGAAGCTGCTCCAGCTCTGGTGGCCGCTGTGCACATGGTGATAGCTGATGTGGAGGCCATCAAGCTTTTTGAGCTTACGATTAGGTTTAAACTTTATTTTTAAATCCTGGTTAATATGACTGAAAACAATCCTTTCTGCACCACCAGACACTGGCTTTCAACCGCAAGATTCAGGCAAACCCAGTTCTGCGTGAGGTCGCCATGCTTGGTTGTGGTACCATGATTTCCAAGTATTGTGCTGCATATCCCACCTGCCATGCTGACTTTGTGAAGGTAAAATATTTTTTCCATAATCACATCACATTCAGTTATTACTTATTGGATGAGAATGAAACTCTTCATGGGTCTTTCAACCTCCACAGCCCATCCATGATCTTTCTGTTGAGGCTATCGCTAAGGGCAACTTTGAAGAAATCACAATGGTTCTGAATTGTTCTTGGCAATGCTGGCCATCCTGCTAGCCTTAAGCCCATCATGAAGCTCCTGCCCGGATTTGGAACAGCTGCTGCTACTCTGCCATTGAGAATTCAGGGTGATGCCATCTTGGCTCTGAGGAACATTGCCAAGAAGGAGCCCAGAATGGTGAGTATTGCTCCTCTCTGTCAGTTAACACCACCACATCTTATGATATATTAACAATCCACTTACCATTTTATAATTCGTTGTTTTAGATCCAGGAAGTCGCTGTGCAGTTGTTCATGGACAAGGCTCTTCACCCAGAGCTCCGTATGTTTGCCACCGTTGTGCTTTTCGAAACAAAGCTCCCCATGGGTCTGGTAACTACTCTTGCTGATGCAGTGGCAAAGGATGCCAATCTGCAGGTTACCAGCTTTGTCTAATCTCTCATGAAGACCATGACCAAGTGCACCGCCCCTGACTTTACCTCAGTGTAAGAGCACTCTTCAATTTCTCAATACATGTCGTATAGATTTGCATCTGCATTTGAATCTAATTGCATTGTATTTTCCCATTTAGGTGCTGCTGCCTCTAATGTTGCATTCAAGATCCTAAACCCCAAATTTGACAGACTGAGCTTCCGTTTCAGCAAAGCCACCCACCTGGATTATTATCATTGTAAGGGCCTCATGAACTGAACTGCTACAATCTTAATGGTTTCTCTCTCATATGTTGGCTTAGTGATTGTTTTCTTTCTAAAGCTCCTCTGATGATGGGTGCTGCTGCCAGTGCTTTCTACATCAATGATGCTGCCACTGTTTTGCCAAGAGCCATTGTGTTTAAAGCCCCCACCTACCGTGCTGGAACAGCTGATGATGTTTTGGAGGTAAAAACAGTTCTTCAAAACTATTTAAAATGATTATGATTCAGTGGTTCCGAAACCCTCTTTTAACGAGCTTTCTCAGATTGGAGTGAGAACCGAGGTAATCCAGGAGGCTGTTATGAAAATGCCCAAGGCTCCTGAAAATCTTCAGTCATTAAGGCTGTAAATATCAAGAATCACGTAATCTCACAAATGTATCTCCAAAGAATCAATGATTAGGTTTTTTAAATGAAGTTGATGAAGTTGATCAGTCAGCTTTGCTCTACTAATCTAACCACAGCTGTCTGACTGGAGGTCCCTGCCTTCAACCGAGCCCTTGGCCTCCGTGTACGTGAAATTCTTTGGACAGGAAATTGCCTTTGCCAACATCGACAAGGCCATCATCGAACAGGCAATTAATGTATGTATTATACTCCTTTATACTACTTTCTGGTCAGGAAAGCTGGAAATTCTTAAACCTCTTTCACAGTTGACTTTCACAGTTGTCTTATGTCATCACAGCTAGGTAGATGGCCAATGTTTGTTTCTCTACAGCTTACAACTGAACCTGCTGTTCAGGCAGAGGGAAAGTTGTCCATGAGAGCACTGCTGTCTGGAGCTGCTTTCCAGTATGCTAAGCCCCTGCTTGCTGCCGAGGTGCGTCATATCTTCCCCACCGCTGTTGGTGTGCCCATGGAGCTCAGCTTCTACACTTTTTTGCTGACGTTTACTGACACCGGCCATATTCAACGGGTGTTGTGCGTTCGTAAAATAATCAGTTATTCTGTGCTCTGGCATACTGAATTTATGAATGCACCCGAAATGGTTGCTTACATAGTGGAGTCTTTTGTTAAGACATGTAGCTAGCGAGGTAAACACTGAACCGTATTCCCAACTCATGACGTTACTACCCTGCATGAATCTGCAGGTACCTAACCAACCAGGTTCAATGTTAGCTAGCTAACATTAAGGTCTAATTAGCCAAGCAAAGCCAAGCTAAACAATTAACCATAATCCCAACTCATGACGTTACTACCCTGCATGAATCTGCAGGTAGCTAACCAACCAAGTTCAATGTTGGCAAGCAAATGGCTCTGAGATACGAATGATAAGATCATACACGTAACATTAGCTAGTGAGCCAACCAGCTAACGTTAGCTAGCTAGCTAACAGTACACATTAACATGAAATGAAACCACTTTTTGTCAAAATTAGAAAGTGTAATATCTGAAAATGTAGCTAGGTAGACAATCTTACCCGTATACATCATGCATGATGGGCGTGTCTCCCTGTAACGGATGCCATGGTTGCCTTTAGTTTGAAGATGTAATCCAGAGACAGGTGTTTTCTCCATCTCTTTAGCTATCATACTCTAATTCCACGGATTTCAAAACTCGATCCTCCAGAAAGTGGAGAGCAACACTTATTCAGCTCCACTACACAATATATTTTTTTAAAAGCTGCGTTAGACAGGATTACCTAAACATACTGACCAGCTCAAATAGACAGAAGCGTGCTATATGGCAGACCAATCCGAACTCCGAACTCGGCATGTCCAGCCCACTCATTATCTCAGCCAATCATGGCTAGTGGGAAGGTTGCCTTCTTTTTACTGTGGCTTAACCAACTAGGCTTGTAATTTCACAATTGTATTCGTATATACAGATGGCATACAAGTTTGTTATTAAGGCACATGAAAGTTCACATGTTCCAGAAGGCATTTCTGCCAAAGAAACGCATTTTGATTTTTAAAAAAAGTTTACATTCAAATGGCTCTCCTGTGAAGTAGTGACCCGCAACATACACCTACTTTCCTGAAACGAGTCACATATACAATATGTGCAGCTATTAGTGATGCTTGGTTATATTAAACCTGAGTTGGTATACTTATTTTGCTTGCAGCATCCAATCGCTAAAGCAAGAACCTCCAGCAGAAGCAGCGCCTCCAGCTTTGAGGCTATCTACAAACGGGTGAAACGTCTATATCATAACTGGGGCTGTGTATAATTCTTCTCCATTGGTGACAATGGGAGTGAGTGCGAGGATTAACTAACACTGTGTCTTTTCAGGCCAAATACAGTGAGGGAAAAAGGTATTTGATCCCCTGATGATTTTGTATGTTTGCCCACTGACAAAGAAATGATCAGTCTATAATTTTAATGGTAGGTTTATTTGAACAGTGAGAGACAGAATAACAACAACAAAATCCAGAAAAACGCATGTCCAAAATGTTATAAATTGATTTGCATTTTAATGAGGGAGATAAGTATTTGACCCCCTCTCAATCAGAAAGATTTCTGGCTCCCAGATGTCTTTTATACAGGTAACGAGCTGAGATTAGGAGCACACTCTTAAAGGGAGTGCTCCTAATCTCAGCTTGTTACCTGTATAAAAGACACCTGTCCACAGAAGCAATTAATCAATCAGTTTCCAAACTCTCCACCGTGGCCAAGACAAAAGAGCTCTCCAACGATGTCAGGGACAAGATTGTAGACCTACACAAGGCTGGAATGGGCTACAAGACCATCGCCAAGCAGCTTGGTGAGAAGGTGACAACAGTTGGTGCGATTATTCGCAAATGGAAGAAACACAAAAGAACTGTCAATCTCCCTCGACCTAGGGCTTCACGCAAGATCTCACCTCGTGGAGTTGCAATGATCATGAGAACGGTGGGGAATCAGCCCAGAACTACACGGGAGGATCTTGTCAATGATCTCAAGGCAGCTGGGACCATAATCACCAAGAAAACAATTGGTAACACACTACGCCGTGAAGGACTGAAATCCTGCAGCGCCCGCAAGTTCCCCCTGCTCAAGAAAGCACATATACATGCCTGTCTGAAGTTTGCCAATGAACATCTGAATGATTCAGAGTAGAACTGGATGAAAGTGTTGTGGTCAGATGAGACCAAAATCGAGCTCTTTGGCATCAACTCAACTCGCCGTGTTTGGAGGAGGAGGAATGTTGCCTATTACTCCAAGAACACTATCCCCACCGTCACACATAGAGGTGGAAACATTATGCTTTGGGGGTGTTTTTCTGCTAAGGGGACAGGACAACTTCACCGTATCAAAGGGACGATGGACGGGGCCATATACCGTCAAATCTTGGGTGAGAACCTCCTTCCCTCAGCCAGGGCATTGAAAATGGGTCGTGGATGGGTATTCCAGCATGACAATGACCCAAAACACACAGCCAATGCAACAAAGGAGTGGCTCAAGAAGAAGCACATTAAGGTCCTGGAGTGGCCTAGCCAGTCTCCAGACCTTAATCCCATAGAACATCTGTGGAGGGAGCTGAAGGTTCGAGTTGCCAAACGTCAGCCTCGAAACCTTAATGACTTGGAGAAGATCTGCAAAGAGGAGTGGGACAAAATCCCTCTTGAGATGTGTGCAAACCTGGTGGCCAACTATAAGAAATGTCTGATGTCTGTGATTGCCAACAAGGGTTTTGCCACCAAGTACTAAGTCATATTTTGCAGAGGGGTCAAATACTTATTTCCCTCATTAAAATGCAAATCAATTTATAACATTTTTGACATGCTTTTTTCTGGATTTTTTGTTGTTGTTATTCTGTCTCTCAATGTTCAAATACACCTACCATTAAAATTATAGACTGATCATTTCTTTGTCTGTGGGCAAATGTACAAAATCAGCAGGGGATCAAATACTATTTTCCCTCACTGTACCTTGGCAATGCTGTTGCCCCAGCGTTGCCCCAGCCATGACCATCCTCATCCGTGCAGTAAGAGCTGACAATGACATGCAGGGATACCAGATTGCTGCTTACTTGGACAAAGCTACCTCTAGACTGCATATCATCCTGTCTAACTTTGCGCCAAATGACAACTGGAGAATTTGTGCTGACGGTGTTCTTCTGAGCAACCACAAAGTTATGGTAAGGCCATGTTTCCAATGCCACTGTACTGTAATGTCACAGTGCTTCAGTCTGTACTGCTTGAGGTCATAACCAACATAATAAAATAAACACATCATTTTGTTTCTGTCTCAGGCTAAGTATGCCCGGGGAGTAGAGTGCCAGGAATTTGAGACTGAAATCACAGCCAAGACTGGTCTTGTGGGACCAGACCCTGCATTCTGTGTGACCCTGACATGGGAAAAACTTCCCCATGGCCTGAAGCGCTAAGCAAAGAAGTACAGTTACTCACTTCATTATAAAGACACATTTCTAGGCTTTACTTTGCACTAGTATTTACTAAACTGTATGAAATAGTGCTCAACTAAGTATTTATATTGTAAGTCAATACAATAAATTAAAATGCATTTGAAATGTTTTGGTTCACAATTCAGGTTGGCTGACTACCTCCCTAGTGCTTCTCTCTATGCAGGAATGAGCCAGGCAAGCGCAAAGAACCGTGTTAAGCAAATCAAATTGACTGTGGATGTTGTATCTGAGAGAACCCTGAATGTCATTCTGAAAATACCAAAGGCTAGTTGACTTAGCCCTACTTTTTTTTTAACTGAAGTTCACTCTTTTCTCTTCGGTCTCTGATTTAAATATACAATTGTTGCAGAGGACAGTGCGCAAACAGGCCATGGCTCTCCCTATTGCTCTACCCATTGGAGCTACTGCTAAAGAGCTGAATGTCGCTGACCAGATCTACTACATGTTTTCCAAAGCCAGCACAGGTGAGAAGAGAGAAATATAATAGTTACAATATGGGGGCAAACTGTGTAATAAATGGGGTTATGATCCATAATTTTCTTGACTCCAGCTGAATGCAGCATGGTCAGAGACAAATTGACCACATTCAACAACAGGAGGTACAAAAACGAGATGCCTCTCTCTTGCTAGCAAGTTTTGGCTCAGGATTGCACCCCAGAGCTCAAATTCATGGTTCTGCTGTAGAAGGATAACCTTTATGAACAAAACCACATCAATGTGAAAATCTCTGACATGTGAGTTCAGCAAATATACAGTATGCTTTTTGTTTACAATTGTCCAAAATACTGTGGAGCATTCCGAAATGCTAAGCCATGGGAATGCATTTTGAAACGCAGACTCGTCTTTGGCAGACAGTTGCGATGCATTGTAACTTAAACAGTGTTGGAATTCTTTCAATTCATTTCACAAAAACTCACAATGATTGTCCTCTTCTTGCTTGTGGATGGCACATCCAGATCAGACAGAAATTTCAGGGCCTGTCTCTCTATGCCCCTAGCCATGGTCTCCAGGAGGTTTACTTTGATAAGAACACATGGAAGGTGAGTATAAGTTTAAACTCATGTGTTCTTCCACTGGACATATTTACACAAACATATACTACTGGTCAAAAGTTTAGAACACCTACTCATTCAAGGGTTTTTTATTTTTACTATTTTCTACATTGTAGAATAATAGTGAAGACATAAAAAGTATGAAATAACACATATGGAATCATGTAGTAACCAAGAGAGTGTTAAACAAATCAAAATATATTTTACATTTGAGATTCTTCAAATAGCCACCCTTTGCCTTGATGGTAGCTTTGCATTCTCTTAACCAGCAACAAGCACACATGCACAAAAACACACACACACACACACACATATATATATATATATATATATATATATATGTATATATATATATATATATATATACATTTACATCATTTAGCATATATATATAGATGCATAAACATAATAATAATATACCTTGTCATCAACATTCGAAAACAAAATCTCGAGCCAGTAGTCAAACCATAAACCATAATTTTCCCCAGAGCAGTTACAAAACAGATTAATCGAAATGTATAAATCAAATGTTATTTGTCACATGCGCCGAATACAGGTGCAGACTTTACCATGAAATGCTTACTTTTCCCAACAACGCGGAGTTAAAAAGTATGAAGATTTGCACACAAGAACATAAATAGTAACACAATAAATAACAATAACGAGGCTATATACAAGGAGTACCGGCACCGAGTCAATGTGCAGGGGTATGAGGAGTTGAGGTAATATAGTGCCTTCAGAAAGTATTCATACCTCCTTGACTTATTCCACATTTTGTTGTGTTACAGCCTGTATTCAAAATTGACTAAATATATGTTTTATTCTCACCCATCTACACATAACACCCCATAACTACAAAGTGAAAATATGCCATTAAACTCTGTAACTGTTTTAAAGTCGGCCTCATGGTGAAATCCCTGAGTGGTTTCCTTTCTCTGCGCCAACTGAGTAAGGAAGGACGGCAGTATCTTTGTAGTGACTGGGTGTATTGATACACCATCCAAAGTATAATTAATAACTTCACCGTGCTCAACGGGATATTCAATGTCTGCTTTAAAAAAAAATATCTATCTACCAATAGGTGCCCTTCTTTGCGAGGCATTGGAAAACCTCCCTGGTTTTTGTGGTTGAAATTCAGTTTGCGCGGCCACGCAGTCATGTGTGAACAGGGAGTACAGGAGGGGCCTAAGCATGCACCCCTGAGGGGCCCCCATGTTGAGGGTCAGCATGGCGGATTTGTTGTTGCCTACCATCAACACCTGGGGGTGGCCCATGAGGAATCCAGTTGCAGAGAGAGGTGTTTTTATTCCCAGGGTCCTGAGATTAGTGATGAGCTTGGAGGGCACCATGGAGTTGAATACTGAGATATAGTCAATAAACAGCATTCTCACATAGATGTTCCTCTTATCCAGATGGGAGAGTATGGTGTGAAGTGCAATAGAGATAGCGTTGTCTGTGGATCTGTTGGGGCGGTATATGAATTGGAGTGTTTCCAGGGTGTCTGGAATGATGGTGTTGATGTGAGCCATGACCAGCCTTTCAAAGCATTTAATGGCTACAGATGTGAGTGCTATGGGGCGATAGCCATTTAAATAGATTACCATGGCATTCTTGGGCACAGGGACTATGGTGGTCTGCTTGAAACATGTAGGTATTACAGACTGGGTCAGGGAGGGGTTGAAAATGTCAGTGAAGACACTTGCCAGCTGGTCAGTGCATGCTCTGAGTATGCGTCCTGGTAATCTGTCTGGCCTTGTGAATGTTAACCTGTTTAAAGGTCTTACTCACGTCGGCAAGGGGAATGGGATCACACAGTCATCCGGAACAGCTGGTGCGCTCATGCATGGTTTTGTGTTGCTTGCCTTGAAGCGAGCATAGAAGGTATTTAGCTCATCTGATACGCTTGCTTCACTGGTCAGCTCGTGGCTTGGTTTTCCTTTGTAATCCGTGATAGTTTGCAAGCCCTGCCACATCCGACGAGTGTCAGAGAAGACGTAGTAGGATTCGATCTTAGTCCTATATTGACACTTTGCCTGTTTAGGGGGTCATCTGAGGTCGTAGTGAGATTTCTTCTAAGCGTCGGTATTAGTGTCCCGCTCCTTGAAAGCTGTAGCCTTTAGCTCAGTGCAGATATTGCCTGTAATCCATGGCTTCTGGTTGAGATATGTACGTACGGTCACTGTGGGGACGATGTCGTCGATGCTCTTCTTAATGAAGCCAGTGACTGATGTGGTAAACTCCTCAATGTTATTGGATGAATCCAGGAACATATTCCAGTCTGTGCTAGCGAAACATTCCTGTAGTTTAGCATCTTCTTCATCAGACCACTTCCATATTGAGCGCATCACTGGTACTTCCTGTTTGAGTTTTTGCTTGTAAGCAGGAATCAGGAGGATAGAGTTATGATTAGATTTGCTAAACGGTGGGCGGGGGAGAGCTTCGTATGCGTTTCTGTGTGTGGAGTAAAAGTGGTCTAGAGTTTTGTCGCCTCTGGTTACACAAATGGCATGCTGGTAAAAATGGGGTAAAACGGATATCAGTTTCTTGCTTGCTTAAAGCCCTATGCGAAAGTATTCACCCCCCTTGGCATTTTTCCTATTTTGTTGCCTTACAACCTGGAATTAAAATTGATTTTTGGGGGGTTTGTATAATTTTATTTACACAATATGCCTTCCACTTTGAAGATGCAAAATAGTTTGTATTGTGAAACAAACAAGAAATAAGACAAAAAAACTGTTCAGCCCCCCCAAAGTCAATACTTTGTAGAGCCAACATTTGCAGCAATTACAGCTGCATGTCTCGTGGGGTATATACAGTGGGGGGGGGAAATATTTAGTCAGCCACCAATTGTGCAAGTTCTCCCACTTAAAAAGATGAGAGAGGCCTGTAATTTTCATCATAGGTACACGTCAACTATGACAGACAAAATGAGGAAAAAAATTCCAGAAAATCACATTATAGGATTTTTAATGAATTTATTTGCAAATTATGGTGGAAAATAAGTATTTGGTCAATAACAAAAGTTTCTCAATACTTTGTTATATACCCTTTGTTGGCAATGACACAGGTCAAACGTTTTCTGTAAGTCTTCACAAGGTTTTCACACACTGTTGCTGGTATTTTGGCCCATTCCTCCATGCAGATCTCCTCAAGAGCAGTGATGTTTTGGGGCTGTTGCTGGGCAACACGGACTTTCAACTCCCTCCAAAGATTTTTTATGGGGTTGAGATCTGGAGACTGGCTAGGCCACTCCAGGACCTTGAAATGCTTCTTACGAAGCCACTCCTTCGTTGCCCGGGTGGTGTGTTTGGGATCATTGTCATGCTGAAAGACCCAGCCACGTTTCATCTTCAATGCCCTTGCTGATGGAAGGAGGTTTTCACTCAAAATCTCACGATACATGGCCCCATTCATTCTTTACTTTACACGGATCAGTCGTCCTTGTCCCTTTGCAGAAAAACTGTTTGACTGTTTGAGGTTGTGGACAGGTGTCTTTTATACTGATAACAAGTTCAAACAGGTGCCATTAATACATGTAACGAGGGGAGGACAGAGGAGCCTCTTAAAGAAGAAGTTACAGGTCTGTGAGAGCCAGAAATCTTGCTTGTTTGTAGGTGACCAAATACTTATTTTCCACCATAATTTGCAAATAAATTCATTAAAAATCCTACAATGTGATTTTCCTGAAAAAAAAATCTAAATTTGTCTGTCATAGTTGATGTGTACCTATGATGGACATTACAGGCCTATCTCATCTTTTTAAGTGGGAGAACTTGCACAATTGGTGGCTGACTAAATACTTTTTTTCCCCACTGTATATATATATATTGAAGCTTTCCCCACAACAAATGAGAAGCAAAGATAGTGGCCAAATGCCTGTTGCAGGAAACTGGACTTAGCCCACACAAG